CCCCCTCCCACACCCTTCCTCAGGGTAGGATAAATCAGCGAACGTATCCTTGGGTGAGGATTAATTAGGTAATTAATCAATTAAAGATACATAAAAGAAAGAAAGGGAGAGAGACAGACTGAGGGAGAGACCGTGGGGAAAGGAGAATCCCTGAGACCGCAAGAAGTGAGCAGTTCAGCCTGGTCACCGTCTGAACGCGCTCACAGGAAGGGACCCCAAGTGAGAGCAGAACTTCCCAGCTCAGCCCCGTCAACTCACAGATCCACGTGAGGCAATGAAACTGCGGTTAAACCCCTACTTTCAGCAGGAGTGGGGTGGTTTTATGCAGCAACAGCTACTTGGGATGCGACCTCCGCTGGGATTATCCCAGGTCTGCGTGACCTCTCCACTCTCCCTTAATCACTGGACATTAGAATCTCCCAGGGAGCTTTTCCAGATGTCGGTTAAATCAGAATGTCTGCAAATGGGGCCTGGGAGTGGCGTTTTTAAAATCCCCCAGGATTTGAAAACCTTGGCTCCATTTATTGTTTCTAAAACTTACCTAAACATAAGAATGCTGCCTGGCACACTTTTAAAAGAACAGATTCCTGGTCCCCAAAACCTATACCGATTCAGGATTTCCATGAGAGGGCGCTGGTAATCTGTAGACATTGCATGTCCCCTCCAGGTGAATTTTATTATCAATTATTAGAAGATTAAAGGTGAGAGGAGAGCCTGCTCTCAGGTTGGGAGAACAGTTTAGCGGTTTCCTATTAAGTTAAGCATTCACTTATGTTGACCCTGAGAATCAATGAACCATTAGGAAGGGCTCCTGGTGGCTGACGGATTCAAATTTTTAAAAAAAAGCCTAGCAGCCATTGCTAAATAGGGACTTCTCTTGCAAAAACCACACTTCAGAGAGAAGGCTGAACCGAACTACCTGCCTGCACTGTGTCCCTGCCATCTGAGCAGGCCTTATAAAGGAGCTCCTGGAATCCTGTTTCAACCAATAGCACTGAGGCTTTCCCTGTCCAATCGGAGCTGTGCTGCTACACTAGCTTCTTCACCAACCAATCGGAGTGGCTCCATTCTTACAAACCAGACAGTAGTTTCTGGACCAAACTGTGAGGACTTGGAGTCTTCATTTGCATGAGGAAAGACCAATCAGGGACCAGGGATGGGGATTTCTCTCTCCGTAAGTAAGGTCGCCTCTGGCTCAGGGAGCAAAATTTCAATCGCTATTGAAGACTGTGTTTTCCTGGCTCTCGCCCTTGCAGGAATAGCCATGCTGTTCCACTACTGGGCCATATCACAGTTGTGCTCTTCCACAGCCAGGGGTATTACAATTGAGCTGTTTTCACTCAATAAAGGTCTTTCCCCATTCACCAAATCCCAAATTGGAGACTCCCATTGTCATTGAATTGGCAACTATGACCTTTGGTTGACACCAAACAACCCAGCAATCCTACTCTTGGGTTTTCCCAACAGAAATAAATACTTATGTCCACCAAAAGACATGTACAAGGATGGTCTAAGATTTTTATTCATAATGGCCCAAACTGGAAATATCCCAAATGGCCAATTATGGGAGCATGCATAGAAGAATTGTTGTATGGTACTTCCACACAATGGACTACCTGGCAGCATAAAGTAGCAACACACACAACACAGGTGAATCTCACAGACCTACTGCTGAGTGAGAAAAGCCAGACAGAGAGTACAGATTCTACTTACATAAAGTTCAAGGTCAGACTAGACCAGTCTGTGGTGATAGAGATCAAATAGCAGCTACGTGTGTGGGTGTGTGACTACGTATGTTTCTTGGCGTGCTCTCTAGCTGGATGTGAGAGTGGGCATGTAAGTCCTCCCTCACAGGATGCAAGACGCTTCCCAGGGCAGCTGTCAGATGCACAGAGCAGAGTTCACCTGCATTTTGGGCCCACGTGAATTGGCAACTTTTTGCACGTTTGTTTCTTTGTTTATTATTTCTTTCAGATATACATTATGCTCATACATTGAGATGCATACAATAAAGTGAGCAAGCACATCTTAAGTGTACAGCCCATGAAATGCTTACATGTTTGCCCTATTTGCCCTGGTGCATAGTGCTGTTCTAAGTCCCTAGAAACGGAACCAAAGACTATCAAACACAGACCCTGTTTGTATGGATTTTATAATCTGGCATAGGAGATAAGGCAATAAAAGACAGAACAATAAGTTTTCATTCATTTACTTGCATGTGCTTTTTGAGAACTCACCTTGTGCCAGGCACTGAGCTAGGCACTAGAACTGTAGTAGGAACCCAGATCCTACTTACGGTCTCCTCACCGTGCTCACAGTCTAGTCAAGTTTGGGAGACTAGAATAGTGAAAAGTTAAATGTAGCTATTCTACCTCCTAAATATTTCCTCCATTCATTCTCTTCTACTTCCACTGATGCTGTACTTAGTTCATGTTCCTATCTTCTCTACTCTCTGAGCTATTGTAGTAGTTTCCTGATTGAGCACGTTTCCAGTCTTCTGCCTCTGATTTATTCTCCAAACCAACAGCCCTTACTATTTTTATCTTAAAAAATAACAAGTTAATGGTTCTCCACTGCCCAGGCAACTCTGGTGTGGCCTGTGAGGGCTTGAATCCTCACTGAAAGGGTCTATATTCTGACCACAGATAAGTTCTTTAAACACCCTGAGCCTCATATGTGTTTTCTGTAAAATGGCGATAAAATAATAATTATACAATAACAACACCCATCTCCCTGAAGAGGCTGAACTCTAATCTGTCATAATAGGTATTCATATGTATATGCTAACCCTCCACGTGCACCATCTATTAAATCCTCCCAATCATTCTCGTTGCTTATTACTCTCATCTCTCTGAACTGCCCAGTAATATCAAGGTGCTTGTATTCAAGGACACACCCATTGCTTTCAAGTCCCTGAGCCCCTACCCTGAGCTCCTGCCTGGAATGCCTCCCCTCTCCCTCCTCCTGGCTGGGTCTTACTCAGCCCAGGCACTGCTTCCTCCAAAGGAGCTGTCCTTGAAGCTGCATACGCAAGCCGGGTGCCCTCGCCTGGATCTCCTCAGCACCCCGGCTTGAATTTGTCTGTCTGCCTCCTATTTCTCCACTTGCTCAAGTGTGAGCTCCTTTCAGCCACCTTGGATCAAAGGCTTCTGTACCCCGTGCTGTGGACCTGTCCTGTGCAGGGCAGGTGCTCAATGTGTCCACTGACTTGAGCAGAACATGCCAAGCATTTTCTTAAGGGAAGTGGCCATTGAGTTGGCCTTGAGGCATGGGTAGGACTTCTAAAAATTGTTTTAAAACAAGTCGTACATTCACACAATACCAAATCCAAAGGGAACAAAAGGGCTTACAGTGAGAATTAAAAGTAGGTCACCTCTCAACCACCCAGCTCCCTCCCTAGAGGCCACCACTGGTATCAGATTCTGAGTATTCTACACAAGCAAGAATTGTCTGTCTACCCTGCTACACACACACACACACACACACACACACACACACACAAACACACTCTTACTTTGCAAAGATTTAAACCAACAGAAAGTTGCAATAATTGTGCAATAAATACCCTGTGTTTAATTCACACATTAACAAGCATTATATCATGTAATGCTCACAACAACCACACAATCATGCCAATTGTGTAGATGAGGTAACTGAGGCAGCAGGCAGGGGAGGGGACTTACCCAAGACCACACAGTTAGTGAGGGGTAGTGCTGCCCTTTCTTTCTCAGGCCACTCAAGACTTGGACCCACCTTCCCTTAGTTCTCTTTGCAGGAAAGCATCTTACTAAATTGAAATCTGCCTCCCTGAAATATTCACCAGATGATCAGTGGAAAAGTACCTAGCTCTGGAAGCATTTTCTGCTTCTCCTAGAACCTTCCCATTCCCTAAGCAACAGCTGCTATCGCTGCCACTAACACATGCTTCAATGTCACCTCCTCTGTAAGGGCTGTTAGCTCACTCCCCCTGTTTAAAGACTCCCGGGGTTGACTCCTGGCTGCCAGCGCGATGACATTTACATGCCTGAGGTTGGAATCCAAGGCCCTAGGTGCTCTGACAATCATGGGTCCTTTCAGCCTCATCCGTCCTACTCCTTCCTCCTCAGTTTCTCACCATCTGCTTCAACTTCCCTACCCCGTTGAAGTGCTCCTATATTCCCGAAGAGCGTAGCGTATTTTCCCCTCTTTGGGCTCCTGAATATTCTGCCTGTGCCTCTTTCACATTCTTCTCCAGGTGGCCTTTTGGCCAGGAGACTGCACAAGTTAATTCGGGAGTCTGAGCCTTAATTTCCTCAGGCACATAATGGGGGTGAAAATTCCTACTTCAGTGTCTGGCGCAGAGTCTGCCCTCACTAATCTCCCATAATAGAACTGACAGCTCTTCTTTTAGTCATCCCTTGAAACCCTACCTCCTATTTCTTAACTTCTCTGCGCCGCAGTTTCCTCCTGAGTAAAATGGGGATGGTAATGGAGAGACCGTGAAACTTTAATGCATACCAAGCACTTGGAATGCTGAGTATGGTTTCTATGATGGAGGCGGAGAGGGCTGGCACACAGTAGGTGTTAAAGCAATCCCTTCCAGGCTGGGTTCGGGTGACCAGATGGACATGGTGAGACAGTGTTGGAAGTGAGAGGTCTGTAGAGAGCCCGCCGGGAGGTCGGTCCACCCCTAACCCCCACAGCCTCCCGCCCCCGCTCCAGCCGCCGCAGCTGTCAGAACCCTGCCGGCCGGGGCACCAGTCCACCAAACCTGAACGTCCCATCCCGGCGCCCCACCTTCCTCGCCTACACAAGTTACCTTACGCCCGGCTGCCCTTTGTCCCCTCCCCCGGTTTCCATTGGCCGAGGGGTTTCTTTGTTAGCTGAAGCTCGGCGCTGCCATTGGTCCACGGGGCCGCCGATCGCGCCTGCAGCGCGGCCCCGCCCCGCGCGCGTCTCCTCTGGCTTCCTCCTCCCCCGCGCCCGCCCACCCGCCCGCCCCGCCCCGCTCCGGCAGTGCGCGAGGCTTCGCTACCATTTGCTGCGGCCGCGGGGCGCGGGGGGCAGTGGCGGCGGTGCCGACCGCAGGGACCCGCAGCGACCCGGTACCTGAGAGGCGTGCCCGAGCGCGGGGAGGCAGCGGGCCCAGAAGGCCGCGTCCATGGGCCCGCGACGGCCGGGCGGTGGCTGTACGGGCGGGCGGCGGGGACCGCGCTCTCTGTGAGGGCCCGGGGCGCGGGGCCCGGCGTGGAGGTGCCCGGGCGCGCCGTGCATCGCAGCGCCGTCGTGCGAGGAAAGGCCTGGCCCTCATCCCGGGGCCCGAGAAGCCATTCTGACCGCCGGGGACGCGCTCCGGCCTGCGTCCGCGGCCGGGCTGTAAGGCGGCGGCCGGCGAGGGCATGCCGCGGCGCCGGCGCTGAGCCCGGCCTGTCTCCGGAGCCCGCCGTGCATGGTGCCGCCGCCCCTCCAGCCGCCGTCCGCCGCGGAGCGCGCCGGACCGGGCCATCGGGCCTCGTCGCGCCGCCGCGCCGACCATGTCGGCAGCCAAGGAGAACCCGTGCAGGAAATTCCAGGCCAACATCTTCAACAAGAGCAAGTGTCAGAACTGCTTCAAGCCCCGCGAGTCGCATCTGCTCAACGACGAGGACTTGACGCAGGTGAGCGGGCGGGGGTGGGGGTCCCAGGGCTGCCCCGGAGACGGAGACCCGGGCCCCGCGCAGTGTGGCCGCCGTTTCCTGCGTCCCCGTGGGGTGGAAGTTACCGGGCGCCGCGCTGAGTGTCTCCAGCGGTCGGCCGAGGCGGGCGCGAGTGCCTCGCCCGGGGCGCCGGCGCCTCCCCGCACCCCCGCCCGCACCCCCCGTCCTGACGCCTGTGAGACCACAGCCCTGCTGCGGAAAAGAGCGGACGTTGCCCCGTTCCCGAGGCGGGCGGGGGTGGGGGTGCCCCCGAAGGCTCCTGGGGAAAATAAAAAAGCAGAAAACGTGCGTGAGTCCTTGGGGGAGGGCGGAGTCGGGGGGAGGGCGAGAAGTGTATTGATAGACTCGGGACAAAGGGAAAAATCCTCAAGTATGCCGAAAAATAACATCCTTCCCGTTCCCATCCTGCCGTGTGATTCATGCTTTTTGGGTGACTCAAAAACGCCTGGTGTTTCTTGATAGAACAAAGCGCTTTAGGATGTCTTGCTGCTTCACAGGACCCCCCTCAGAGTCTGTCTTAGGACCGAACTTAGACTTGTCCGCCCCGAGGGGCCCGGTCGGCCGGGCGACTGCGGGTTCCCCGGGCGAGACCCAGGCTGCCCTTTTTCTCTGTCATTGTCACTGTCAGTGGCTGGAGAGCTGAGGGGTCCTGAAGTCTGCGGAGGAGGGTCTTGCTCTTGAACCTAAACCGGAGGCCGCCGGGCTGGGGCTTCTTTTCGCGCCCCCGCCCCACCCCCTCCGGCCCGGCTCTCCGGTCGCTGGGCGAGGAGCGAGGAGTGAGGAGACCTGTGGGTCCTGCGGAAAGTCGGCTGCCTTCTTGCTTTATCTGTCAAACAAGGGCGTAAGGATCGTTCGGTAGCTCCCAAACCTGCCTCGGAGTCACAGTCTTTAAAAATACAGAGTCCGGGGGCCCCCATCCCTGGAGTGACGTAGGAGGTGAGGGAATCTGTGTGGGAACAGCTCCCCAGGCTTTGGGCTGCCGTCCCCGCTGGCCTCTGGGAGCCTTGCGGCCCGAGCCGCCCGTGGTCCCGGGCTCGGAACAGCGGCGGCCTCGGGGGCGTCCGCTTCCCGGGGGTGCCTGCGGCAGCCTGGTCTGCAGCCCCTCGGGGCGAGTCCGTGCCCCCCCCCCCCGCCCTCCCCGCCAGTCTCCCTCCTCGGAGCTCCCTGTCGTGCCCCTGCATGAGACCGGGGGAGCTCCTTGCCCGTCCCACTCGGGGGTCGGGGCGCCAGGTTAGCCCCTGCTCTTTCAGAAGAACCCCTAGAAGGGAGACAACTGCTTGGAAGTGCACCAGCCGGGTCGTTTTTAATGCTACTGAGGTGCTCACAGGGTTTGGCTTGTTTACGTGGCTGAGCAGAGTGGAGAGTTGGGTGGCGAGGTAGGAGTTTTGCCTGGGACTTGAGTGCCTTCTTCTGAGGTCAGGTTCCCAACAGCCAGGAAAAGACTCCTTTCATCTTAAAAAAAAAAAAAAGAAAAAAAAGCTTACCCGAACGCTGAGGGCTGCAGAGTCAGAGGATTGTTAGGATTGTCGGGTCAGCTCGGAAGCGTGGCACTGCTTCCTGGGAAGGTCTTCCCAGCTGTGGGCTGGGCTCCTAGGGGAGACTCCCTCTTCCTGACTGGATGCCTGTTTCTGGGAAGCAGTTTGTGAGGATGAGGTTCTGGACCAGCAGTCAGGAGGCCTTGCTTCTAGTCTTGGCTGTCATTTTCAGCCGCGTGACCTTGAACAGTCCCTTTACCTCTGTATAGTTCATTTCTTTTTCTGTAAATTGGGAGTAGAGCTATCTGACCTACGTCACTCACCCGGCTGTGGTGAAAAGGAAGGACTTTTCTGATATCTTACTAGACGCTTTTTTTTCACAATTTAAAAAACAACCCAAAAAACACCTACAGAATAGTAAACTTGGATTTAGGAAGTTCCTGAGGTTGGCAAGCATTGTTCTTTTTTCTTTCCTTCCCTTTTTTTTTTTTTTTTTTTTTTTTTTTTTTTTTTTTTTAGAGAAAGAGAGAGGGTGAGAGAGAACTAATTTGTTGTTCCACTTATTCATGCAATCATTGGTTGATTCTTGTATGTGCCCTGACCAGGGATTGAACCCACAATGTTGGCCTGTGGAGACCATGTGCAACCAACTGAGATACCCCCTGGGCAGCAAGGGTTGTTCTAAGAGTTCCCTGGTTATTTCAGGCAACTGCCCAAATCAGTAAATTGGGTACTTATTTCCTGATCCTTAAGCTTAGATAAACTAGGATGGAATCTGCATATTTGAGTTCAATCTGTTAAGAAATTTTTAAAAATCTATTAATTATTAATTTGATTCAAAGGAGTGGGGTCATGAATTTCAAGTACTTTTCTTTTTCACTGCACTGACAGTTGAATTGTGGGTTTTAAAACAGACCTGAGTTCCAGGGCACAAGTGGAATGGTAGTTTCTGAAATAATGAGTGGGGTTATTTGTGCCGGGTGAGATTAGGTCAGCCTTCTGCCTTCTGGGATCTTTCAGGAAGAAACTGCTCTTGAAAAGAGGAGGGAGACACAGCTGTTGCCAGCAGCCTTAGCTGCTTGCTGCTCTCTGCATCCGTTCCCCGCCCCCTCCCAGGCTCCTGACTCTCATCCTCATGGCTGTTTTAGAAAACCTCAGCCAATTGGTTCCCATCAGTCTCCCCCAAGTCCCTGCTTCCTGCTCCCTTCCCTGCCCTGGGTTTATTTTAGACCATCAAGACTGGAAGATAGATCAGTGATAATTGAGGCCACCTCCTCTCTAAGAGGTAAGGGCACTGAGATCAGTGAGGCAGTGAGAGAGGCTTTTGCCCTGGGATGTCATCATCCCAGGGGTAGACATTTCTCTGAGCCTTCTGATTTGAGCTTATTTCCACAGCTGTGGGTTCTGTTTGTTTTCCCCCCAGAGAGGTGCAGAAACCCCTTCCAGGAACTGCATCATAGCATTAGACCTGGAAGAGATTTAAGATCAGCTAAGCTACTTTTAACCATGAGAACACTGAACCCCAGGGAAGGGAGCAGCTTGCCCAGTGCAGGAACATGGTCAGGATTCTTCATCCATGGTTCTTTCCCTACTCATATTAAGGGTCTGCAGTGGCCATCCCATAAACACGTGGTGAGGAGAGTTGTGTCAGAGATGATTATGTTACAAAAGGTGCCTTGGAGGACAGGCTTCGGGTACCCCGCCAGGGACCTTGAGATTACTGGCTCGGACCCGGCAGTCCTCCCCTCTCCTCACCGCTGGAATTCAGAGCGACCCAGGATGAGTCATAGGCAGCAGGCCTCCGCTGCCCGTCATGGCGCCCTGCAGGCCCAGCCTCGGGTCGCAGGTGGCCACTCATCCTGCGGTTCCCCTGTGCATATGGACTCAGATGCGTAGTTGAAACCTTTTTGAAGCTAACATGCATGTATGTATTTGCAACTTTATTTTTTTTTTTGGTTGGTAACATGTCTTACAACATTTTTAAGGTATTAAAATATACCGAAATCATTTGGTATAGTGCACCATCAGGTATGTATTACAGTTTTATTCTGCTGACGGACAGCAAGGTTACTTCTGGGTTTTGCTGTTACAGACAGTGAATACTTCAGCAAACAGCTTTCCAAATGCTTTTGGATGTATGTGTTGCCTGCATGAATGCAGGGATTTCTCTGGGGGCAAATATTTTAATAAAAAAAAAGACCGAGTTGACATCAAGTGCATTACTGTTTGGTTCTTTTTTAATAGATAATCAACAAACTGCCTTTCTAAAATGGCTCTGTCATACCATTGCCAGGGTTGGATGTTACCAACTTATTTATTTCCAACTGATTTAATTCTTTAGTATTTTCCCTAGTTACAAATGAAGTTAAGCCTCTTTTTATAATTATTGAATATGTTTTATTTCTTCTGGGCATTGTCAGTTCATACTGTTTGCCCATTTTTTAAATTGAGTTAGTTCCCACCCCTATTCCCTCCAGTGATTTGTAGGAGCTGTATATACTCTAGGTCAGGGGTCCACAAACTTTCTGTATCAGGCCAGTTAGTAAATATTTTAACCTTTTAGGTCATACAACCTTTGTTGCAACTTTCCTGTTACAGTGCAAAAGCTGCTGTGCAAAGCCACTGTAGACAATCCATAAGCTAATGAAAAGCGGCTGTTTCCATTAAAACTTTATTTACAAAGCAAGGCAGTTGGTGGGATTTGACCTCTGAGCTGTGGTTTGCTGACTCCTGCTCTAGATATTAATGTGACACCTCTCCTTAATTTTTATGTATTGTTATTTCTCTTTATCATAAGGTAGTTTTAAACATGAATGCACTTTAATTTCTATGTTTCCCTTCATAGTTTGTAGTTTTAATTTCATGCTTATGAAGTTCTTCTTCCCAAGATTATAAAACAAATGCTTTTATGCATATGCTTGTAATAGCACTATTCACAGTAGCCAAAACATAGCAACAACCCAAGTGTTCATTGGGTTGGATAAACAAGTTGTGGCATATCCATACATTGGAATATTATTCAGTTATAAAGAGGGGTGAAGTACTTGCTGCATGCTTCAACATGCTGCAACATGATTGAACCTCAAAAACATGATGTAAATTGATTTAATTTATATGAAATATCTGGAAGATGTAAATCCATAGAAACAGAATGCATATTAGTGGTTCTCGAGGTGCTGGGGGAAGGTGGAATGAGGAGTGCCTACTAATGGGATCAGGATTCTATTTTAGTGGTGATGGAATGTTCTAGACCTGGAGAGACGCTGGTTGCATAACACTGTGAATGTACTAGATGCCACTGAATTGTTCACCTTAAAATGGTTAATTTCATGTTATGTGAATTTTACCTTAATAAAAAAAGGTACAAAATAATCACAAGGGCATGCGCATGGCACACATACCTGCTACTTGTATCATTTGGAGGAAATATTTAATTGTTCTGGAGTCTAGATCAGGGATTGACTTTTTTTTTTTTTTTTTTTAAGT